TTCAGAATGCTTTAAAAATTCTATTTACAAGACAAATGTTTATAATAAAATTCTATTCAATCGTTAGATTCATGACGATTGAAAAAATGTTTTTATTTGAGTTTGGGTTTGACCAATTCGTAAAAAAAAAAAAAAACTAAAAAAAAAACTAATTAAGACATGCGTGTCCGTCAACCTTAAAGAATAATCTTTGTCAATTTTATTTTTCAGTCTTTATGATGGTCGATACTTGATCTATCTCTTACTGTTACATCCCCGGGCAAAGCCGGGCTCTACTGCTAGTATATATATATATATATATATATATATATATATATATATATATATATATATATATATATACAAGGTGCAATTGATAAATTGTCGTCGTTTTTAATTTCAATTTCGAGCACGTGCGTTGTTTATTTTGATTTTGTCAACTGTACAGTATAGTAGGGTCAGTTGGGCAACTTCTGTGAGAAAAACATCACCATAATGCAATTCTCTCCATCAGAAATTTAGAAACGGCATGTTTTACTGTTTGACATTCACACCGGAAGCTCCAATACGAGCATTTCAGAGTGTTTGTGTGTCAAATGCTGATTACGAAGGTACCTGGATTGATCTCTAGTGATGGCGGTGTTATGCCACCATACATCTTCCCACAGGACCTCAGAGTCCTGTATAAAGGCCCTTGAGGAGGTAGTGTTGCCTGGTTCAAGAGGGTGGCCGCTGGAAGACCCTATGTCTGGCAACAAACCTGTACACCATGCCACACAAGCTGTCAGACTATTTATGCGACCATATCACCCGTTACATCTGACCACCTAACACCCCAGACTGCAACGCCCTTGGTTATTATTGTGGACAGAGTGGATGAAGATAATGGCCATTTTATTGAATAAATTTACTTTTTAGGATTTCAAGATATTTTTCTGTAATTTTGATATATATATATATATATATGTGTGTGTGTGTGTGTGTGTGTGTGTGTGTGTGTGTGTGTGTGTGTGTGTGTGTGTGTGTGTGTTAAAATAAGCTGTCAGGGTTATTTTCCTTTATGCGTCATTTAGATGACAATTTATCCATTGCACGATATATCTATATCTAGCTAGCTAGCTATATATATATATGTATATTAATTTCTTTATATCATGGTATACCACTTGACATTCTTTTAAGTGCTTATGGCCACTTCAAGTTAAAACGCCTGTTTGATCGCCAAACTCAAGCAATGTCGGACCTTTTTATTACCTAGATAGCTGAATGCTTGGAATCCCAAGTGCTTTAAGCTTGGATGTGTGGGTGGTGTAATGGATAACGCCTTGGAATTGTTAATCAGAAACCCGAGTTCCAATTGCCGTTGGGTTCGGTATATACATTTACGCGCAAAATACCCTTATTTAAATAATCTGCAAAAGGTTTATTTAAATAATCTGCAAATCGGTGTTGATAAGAATGTTGATGTATTTTGTGATGTAAAAACGAATCAATCAATCAATCTTTCATTGAAATCGGTGTAAGGTTTATTATTATTATCATCTGATTTCTGCTATTCTGATATGATGTATTTCATGTTAATTTTTTTTTTTTTTTTTTTTTTTTTTTTTTTTTAATATTTTAATAGAATGTTGATAGTTGTATTTTGTGATGTAATGAGCAATATGTAAACGAATTGTACTGAATATCGACAACTTTCTGGTTTTGACAAGTCAGTCTATTTCGAGAGAGTGTTTGCTTACACATTTTAAAGTGTTTGCATTGTCATGTATTGCCCCATCTATCGCCAATTTAAGGTTTATTATGTTTATTATTATTTATTATTATTATTATTATTATTATTATTATTTTTATTATTATAGCCTTGGGTTTCTGTTGTATACACATTTCCTTCTGGATCTAAACCAGAGACATAAGGTCAGAAATGTCTTCATCCACTGACCATTTTTTTATTAAAAAAATACTAATATCACATTCATTTAACATAGATAAACTCTTTCTAATGTGCGTTCTGTAATTGTGTGTAGAATTTCTTTTTATTTATTTTATAGCCTTGGGTTTCATTGTATACCAAATATCCCTTCAATATGTCTCTCGGCTCCATTTTTTTTTAAAAAATCAATCATTCATTTAACAGGGATAAACTCCTAATGTACAACTAAAATTATTGATGTCCAAATGTCTCTCGGCTCCTTTTACAATCAATTTTTTTTTAGATTTCCATTTCAAGATCATTGTATTTTTATAGTTTTTTTGAAGATCTTCAAAGATACATTACAATCGGTAGGGACAGCCATATGAATAAAAACAGATGCACATTCTGTTTTCGTGGTCTTTGATCACGATGTCTGGGTGATTAGTTTTGATTGTTCTGTTTGTGTGTATTGTAAAGTGCCATAAAATTGTTACAGGTCCTATCTCTGTCACCGAGTCTGGGTGATGTTCATACCAATTTCTTTCAGTTCCCTTGCCGGAAAAGTTATATATCTTCCAGTGCAGATATTGGCTCAATCTGTTATGCTGAGTTTTATATTCGGCTGGTGCTAACACTGAACCTGATACAAGATGGTCAATTGTTTCTGGGTATTTATAAAAGAATCCACATTTTAACACTGCACTGCGTAACCACTGATGGATACATGGTTATTATTATTATTATTATTATTATTATTATTATTATTATTATTGATATTGAAGATGCAATATTGCAAAGGAAAATAGAAATTATTTTTTACGTAATGGGGATTTTTAAATCGTTGATAATAATTAGGTTTGATGTTTTGATAACTATAGGAAATCTATAGAAAAAGAACTATAGTAAATTCCAATAGAAAATTTCAATAGTAAATTGCTATACTATATATCTATAAGAAATGTCAATAGCAAAATTTCTATAGTAAATTCCAATAGGAAATTTCAATAGTAAATTGCTATAGTAAATTTCTGTAGAAAATTTCTATAATAAATTTCAAATTTCTGTTGAAAATTTCTATAATAAATTCTGTTGTATATTTAGTAAATTTTACCTATAATAAATTTTAATAGTAAATTTCAATTGTAAATTGCTATAGGAAATTGGACACCTTAACGTGGTGTAATGGTTAGAAAGCTTTTCTTGCTTAATCAATTACGACTAAGTAGTAAGTTCGATGACCACTGGATGCCCCATACTTTTGGCTTTGTGCCACATCTAAGCTGTGCTTAGAAAATCATTATCATCAGTGGCATCTCGGCGTGGTGTAATGGTGAGCAAGCTTGTCTCGCTAAAACAGTTAAAAACTGAATAGTGAGTTCGATCCGCACTGGGTGTCCCATACATTCTGTCATGTGCCACATCTAAGCTACGCTTAGAAAATAAAAAGTGTGTAAATTACTATAAAGTAATTTGTAACACGTTTATTTATCATCTCTCAGTCGCGTCTCTGTCCTTGAGTAGAGTGCACTCAGAGGCGACTACGTCAAAGGACAGAGTTGCAACTGAGGAAAATTATACTGAGAGATGCTGGCCCTGGGAAACAGCTGCCCAAGGCCACGCCCTCTTATTACACAAGAGTAATGGATCGGTGCACGCACCGAGGCAAGCGCAACCGTCGGTTGAGAGAGCTCGGCTAATTTTTGTTCCTTGCCCAGGTGTACGCGCTTAGGCTTCCCACATTAAAACAACCTGACCATGTGGGGTGTTGAGTAAATACAAATTACAATAGGAAATTTCAATAGTAGACTTCTATAGTAAAGTTAAATATTAATTTTCAAAATTACTATAGTAAATTTCAATACTAAATTCCTATAGTATATTACTATAGTAAATTATGATAGTAAACGATAAATTTATCGTTGGATGTAAGTACCGTCGAGTTATAATTTCTATGTCTATTCATCCTGTTTATACTTGGGGTGAGGATTATGGTCATACCACTTTGAAACAACGGTTCTTGTACGATTACCAAAGTTAAGCAACATCGAGCCTAGTCAGTACCGACATGGTGACAATATAGGAATGCCTATATAGCTTGGAAATATGGGTAGTGTAATGGATAACATCTCCGAATTGGAAATCTAAGAGTCGATTTCCAATTCCAGTCGGGTTCCTTATATTCATTTAAACGTAATTAAGCTTGGGAAAAGGTATAAATCTATCTCCCAGCACCCGGTATGGGGTAATTAGTGTAAAGGGTTGATAAACCGTAAAAATAAATCACCCAATGAATCCAAATCTCTGGTGCCTTGTGTGAATTATTCCCCTTCGATATTTAATATCCTACGGAGATAATTTTGATGGAAACGTTCAATAATTTTAACATATCATCTATAAGTACACGATGCACTGTAAATATTATTTTCTTTGGTAGATTTAATATTTGGGATGGCATTCATTTTTGTAATTAAGAAAATACTAAGTTTTGCTTGTGGTTATTTTTATAAGGTAGCAAAATTATGATTTAGCTTCAACTAAAAGTCGAGGAAAAGAATTCTATTGTGCTCATCAATAAGTATTTACTTTCATCTTTATTTTTTATAAGATGAAGCATTGTCAACCATCTTTATAAATTTTTCCCAGTATTTGCTTTCATCTTTAGTTTTATTAGATGCAGCTTTATCAGCCATTATTATTAATTTTTGACTAGTATTTACTTTCATCTTCATTTTTTTATTAGATGAAGCATTGTCAGCCATTATTATTAATTTTTGACTAGTATTTACTTTCTTCATTTTTTTATTAGATGAAGCATTATCAACCATTATTATTAATTTTTGACTAGTATTTGATGTCATCCACATATTTTATTAGATGAAGCATTGTCAGCCATCTTTATAAAATTTTTACCAATATTTCTTTTCATCTTCATTTTGATTAAATGAAACATTGCAAGCCATTATTATTAATTTTTTACATGATTATTGGTGAATAAAGCTTTCAGCCTATGGAGTTCAACATTCAAAATCGTGTGTCTTACTTAAGCGCGAAATCCAACTACACAAACCAATTGTGCCTGCGCTGTTATCTCATCTAACAATCAAGATCATAGATAGATAGATAGATAGATAGATAGATAGATAGATAGATAGATAGATAGATAGATAGATAGATAATATTTGAGTTGGGGGGATTTGTGAGCAGATTTAGGATTGTTGTTAGGTATTCTGTAGGATGCCTGGCCCTAATTCTGACCCAAACCCAAGCCCTAACCCCTTGCCGATGTTTTCAACAGCCATTCGCAAAATGCGGTTGGAGGGCAGAGTTGATGTCTGTTGATGGAAAGCAGTTTCCTCTTCTAAAGCGTTTGCTTCTTTCTTCTGTGAGACCGAGAGGAGGCAAGTTAATGAAGCATAGGGGAGGGACAGTTCTCAACACAATGTAACTTAACTAAATTAACCCTCTTTTATGAGAATTCGATGGGAAAATATGAGACTGATCTCAAAACGAGTTGAAACAAGTGTTGATTGTTTATATGCACGAATAGAGTTTAGGTTAGTCTGGCACAAGGTCATTGGAGATCGAATATACAATCAATAACATGCTAAATTGACTCATTGGAAATCGAATTTGGAGGCATTCATTGGATATTGAATTTAGAGACACTTGGTGCAAATATATATTATAACCTGTTAAATGTTAAATTGGTTTTCTAAAGACACGGTCGAGTACTGAACTGCTACGTGACATCTGTAGGAATAATTGTGGATCAGAATGCGTGTATTTGTAGTGCAGGGACATTTTTATTAATAGCAATAAATAAAATTACAAATACAAAATAATAATAATGAATATCATAAATAAAATAAAATAAAATATATAACATTAAAATTTGTTTCAAATAAATTAAATACCCCACACCGAGCCGAGAAAAATAGTTCTTCCAAAATGCAACAGAAACATTTCCTGGCTGGAAACAGACTTCGAACCAAAAATTCATTCTCTTTCGTTGGAAGTTCAAGACGGCCATCTCCTCCCCTTGGGACATTCTTTGTTATAATGCGAAGTGACTTCTTCCTTTTGTTACATACAACCGCAAAACACTTGTAACTAAAATGCACACACACACGCGCGCGCGCGCATACACACACACACACGCACATACACACCAGTAGACAAAAATGCATGTTCGTTAAAGACACTAGAAAAAGGAAGGTGATATTCATGCTCGGAATGTTATCAGAAAGAGCAATACAAGTGCAGACGGACGTGTACCTATGTTTTACAGACTACGCAACGACGTTCGACAAAGTACGCCACAAGAATCTGCTGGAACTGCTCAGCAACCTTGATATATTTGGGAAAGATATTAGAATAATCGAGAACATATAGTGGCAGTAAACGGCATGCATGCGCATAGAGAATGAGTTCAGCGGATATACAAAAATAGAAAGGAGCGTAAGACAAGGACGTGTCTTCTCACCGGACTTATTCAAACTATCCAGCGTGGCAATTCTGAGAGAATTGGAAATCCTACCAGCATTGGCAGCTACAATCTTAACAACATAAGATATGCAGAGGACACAGTACTGATAGCAGACACGGAAAACAAATTACAAAACTTCCTACAGAAGGTAGCGAAGGAGAGCAAGAAGAAGGGACTAAGCATAAACTACAAGAATACAGAATGCATGGTCATCAGTAAAAGGATGAGCCCGAAAAGCGATTTGCATTGGTCGGGGAAACTAAAATCAAGCAGGTGCAGAAGTTTAAATATCTGGGAAGTGTTTTGACGGAGGACGGTAAGTGCGACGCTGATATCCGAAGACGTACTGAGATGGCCAAAGACGCATTCCAAAAGCTGGGCAGAGTATTGCGAGACAGGAGGATTTCTTTGGTAAAAAAAGAAAAGAGTACTGAGCTGCTACGTGACATCTGTCCTCATTTACGGCAGCGAATTTTGGACGGTCTCCTCAAAGATGAAGAAGAGACTCAAGGCAGTGGAGGTATGGTTCTACAGAAAGGTACTAAGGATATCGTGGAGCAAGCGTGTGAGCAATGATGAGGTTTTGGAAAGGATGCAAACAAGGAGGAAGCTTATACCTAAAATCAGAAGGAGGCAGCTGAAATTTGTGGGACACGTAATGAGAAAGGAGGGCTTGAAGAATCTGATACTCACAGGTCGAATAGAAGGAAAGAGAGACAAGGGAAAGCAACGCATGACATACCTAACGGGCAAGTGGATGATCGAACATGGCCTGTAGGAAGTAGCAAAGGGACAAAACTTATTGAGAGCTACAAAGGATAAGAGGAAGTGGAGAGCCATGATCGCCTACATCCTGAAGGGACATGGCACATAAAAAGAAAAGAAACACACGGCCAAATTTGGAGGTACTTCATCATCATTATTTATTAGAGGAAGCATTATCGCCATTATTATTAACTTTTGATTAGTATTTATTTTCATCTCCTTTTTTTATTAGATGAAGTATTGTCAGCCATTGTGGTTATTGTTTTGTTCCGAAAGTTCATGCCTATTTTTAACTGTGCATGTTCCAACACGTTAGGACACGTCAAATTTATCGACATATATAATACTAGCAGTAGAGCCCAGCGTCGCCCGGGGATGTAACAGTAAGAGATAGATCAAGTATCGACCATCATAAAGACTGAAAAATAAAATTGACAAAGATTATTGTTTAAGGTTGACGGACACGCATGTCTTAATTAGTTTCTGTTTTTTTTACGAATTGGTCAAACCCAAACTCAAACAAAAACATTGTTTTCAATCGTTATGAGTCTAACGATTGAATAGAATTTTATTATAAACAATTGTCTTGTAAATGGAATTTTTAAAGCATTCTGAATGTAAAAATAAAGAAAAAAGTGTACAAGACAATAAGAAACACTACCTGCCAAAAAAAATGTGAAGTTTTGTTGAAATCGGTTGAAAAATGTAGGAAATCCGATCCCATATATAAACGAACACACAAACACACACACAAACAACCTGAGTTTTATAATAAGTATAACTCGATATGAGTTGTCCCCCTTTCATTCCGCAAAAGCGATGCCTCTTAATCGTGTTTTCAAATTGATTTCGTGCAAAAACAATTGTAATTTTACGTAGTCCTGTGAAGTTTTGTTGAAATCGGTTGAAAAATGTAGGAAATCCGATCCCATATATAAACGAACACACACACACACACACATACACACACACACACACAAACAAACAACCTGGGTTTTATAATAAGTATAACTCGATATGAGTTGTCCCCCTTTCATTCTCGCGACAGCGATGCCTCTTATCGTGTTTTCAAATTGATTTCGTGCAAAAACAATTGTAATTTTACGTAGTCCTGTGAAGTTTTGTTGAAATCGGTTGAAAAATGTAGGAAATCCGATCCAATGTATAAACGAACAGACACACACACACACATACACACACACACACACACACACAACCTGGGTTTTATAATATGTATGATGCTTACATTTCAGACTAGAGCACACTTCAAGCTATTTCTTGAGAAAGAAAGTTTAAAATTACTTAATTCGTGTCAACTTTGCATCCCTATGTAAATGGAAGATTATAAGGTGCATTTTAGACACTTGATGCTTATTTTTAGCTTAAGAGCAAAAATGCCTCGCAAGCAACAAAAAGGATATGTGCTGTGTATGGTAAACGTACCTTAGCTGAGAGAATTGCACGGAAGTGGTTTGCAAAGTAGCCTTATTGATGAAGAACGCTCTCACTACTACAGATGATGACTAAATAAAAGCATTGATTGAGAATAACTCACATTACACACCGCGGAAATTGATGGAAACACGAAATTTATCAAAATCCACTATCCATGAACACTTAATGAAGATTTTGCATCTAAATCGCTACGATGTTTGGGTATCACATGATCTGAGTGACAAAAAATCTTTTGAATCGCATTTCATCTGTGATTTTCTGTATAAACGCAATGAAAATGCACCTTTTTTAAGCAAATTGTGATGGGTGATGAGAAATGGATCGTTTACAACACTGGTCAGCGAAAAAGATCCTGAGGTAAGCAACATGAGCCAACTTTAGCTACTTCAAAAGCATGTCTTCATCCTAAGAAAGTCATGCTATGCATCTGGAGCGATTAGAAAGTAGATAATTCTGAAAAGTACTGGACGAATTAAAGGCAGATAGTATTTACTGTCATCTTCATTTTTTTTATTAGATGAAGCATTGTCAGCCATTATTATTAATTTATGACTAGGATTTACTTTCATCTTCATTTTTTATTAGATGAAGCATTGTCAGTCATTATTATTAATTTATGACTAGGATTTACTTTCATTTTCATTTTCTATCAGTTGAAGCATTGGCAACCATTATTAATTATTTCTGACTAGTATTTACTTCATTTTTATTTGATGAAGATTTGTTATTAATTCGACTCATATTTACTTTCATCTTCATTTTTTTTTTATTATCGTTATGGTCCTGGTTCTTGTACCATGGTGATGGTCCAAGGTAGAACCAATAAAGAAGAACTCGAACACGGATATGGAATAACACAGATATATTACAGACAGGAATATATACAAAGAAGTAGAAAGTGTTAGTATGAACAATCAGGTTTAGTAGGGAGAACAATGTAGTCTCGACCAGTATCACTATTCCAATGTCTTGTCGTAATTGTCTGAACGCGACTCTGTTTCGGACCTCACTCCAGACTTCAGAATGAACAGTATTTAGTCACCCCCAACGAGGGCACCATGTGGCACAAGGCCGGTTTAACGTGGGATCTCCGAGTCCGTGGGCTCGCCCAAAAATATGCCCTTTGAACCTGTATAAACGGGTTCAGGGTCGGCTCGGGTCCGCTTCGCGTAGCCTCGTTCAAGTTCCTCCCCGCTCGTACTCGTAGGCAGAGAGTTCAACCGATCAGCCTGTCAGCCGGTCGCCCGACTTCGGACTGAACAGTATTTAGTAACCCCCCCCGCCACGAGGGCATCATGTGGCACAAGGCCGGTTTAACGTGGGATCTCCGAGCCCGTGGGCTCGGCCAAAAATATTCCCTTTGAACCCGTATAAACAGGTTCAGGGTCGATTTACCTCCCCGAAAGAGACTCCGCCCTTCGACGTAGCCTCGATCGGGTTCCTCCCAACCCGAAGGCAGAGAGTTCAACCGGTCAGCCGTCGTCCGACTTCGGACTGAATGATATCTAGTCACCCCTCACG